TTGGTGTTTGCATGAAACATCTAATAAATCCTTACCAACTAGTGATTTCTCATAGCAATCAGTGACTTTCCATTGTAACCATTGACTCCCTTAGCAACTATTCATTTTCACTTTCAAACATTATTTTCCCATAGCAACCACTGACTTCCTGACCAACCAGTGATTTTCCATAGCAACCATTGACTTTCATAGCAACCATTGACTTCCATAGCAACCAGTGACTTCAAATAGCAACCAGTGACTTGCATAGCAACCATTGACTTACATGGCAACCATTGATTTTCCATAGCAATCGTAAACCTATTAAGCAACAAGTGACTTTCATAACAACAAGTGCATTTCCATGGCAACCATTGACATTCCATAGCAGCCAGTGACCAATATTGCAACCATTGAATACCGTAGCAAACATTGACTTCAATAGCAACCACTAACTATCCATAGCAATCAATGACTTCCACAGCAACAAATGACTTTCTGTAGCAAAAAGTGACTTTCCATAGCAACCATTGATTTCCACAGCATCGAGTGAGTTTCCATAGCAACCATAGACTTCCATAGCAGCCAGTGACATCCCATAGCATCCAGTGACTTGCCACTGCAACCCTTGTCTTTCCATAGCAACCATTGACTACCATAGTAATGACTAACTTTCCAAAGCAATCAGTGACTTCCATAGCAAAAGGTGACTTTCTGTAGTAACAACTGATGTTCCATAGCATCCATTGACATTTCATAGCAACCATTGACTTTCTATAGCAACCATAAACTTCTTTAGCCCCTAATGACTTTCCATAGCATCCAGTGACTTACCACTGTAAGCATTGACTTTCTAGCAACTACTAATTTTCCAAAGCAATCAGTGACTTCCATAGCAACAAGTGACTTTTTGTAGCAACCACTGATTTTCCATAGCAACTATTGACTTCCACAACAACCAGTGACTCACATAGCAGCCATTGACTTTCCATAGCACCCATAGACTTATTTAGCCCCCAATGACTTTCCATAGCATCCATTGACTTACCATTGCAAGTTTGTTTTGTTAGGTCAAGTTCAAATATGGGTCACCTTGGGGCAAAAACTAGGTCACACTGCGCAAATATGGAAAAACCTTGTAAACACTATAGAGGTCATATTTCTGACTACATTATCATCAAACTTGGTCAGGATGCTTGTCTAAGTAATTGCTCGGATTAGTTTGATGGGTCAGATGAGGGATGTAGGGCCATCTTAGCCATCTTGTTTATTTTCATTCTGGGCTATGACTTACTTGAAAACAATGCATTTGGCATTCATTCAACATTTACCAACTCTTAATTACACCCCCACCACAAATTGTAGGGGGGGGGGGCTATAATGGATTCTCTTTGTCGCATCTGTCCGTCCGTCTCCACTATCGTGTCCGCTCTATAAATCCTATACCAATTGAAGGATTTTCTTCAAACTTGGCTAAAATGTTCACCTCAACAAGAGGATGTGCAGAACCCATGTTGCCCATGTGTCAGCTCAAGGTCAAGGTCTTAATTGAAGGTCAAATATTACACAGTATGTCGTGTCTGCTTTGTTAGTCCAACACTAATTGAAAGATTTTCTTCAATCTTGGCTTAAATGTTAACCTCAACAATGGGATGTGCTGAACCCATGTTGCCCATGTGTCAGCTCAAGGTCAAGGTCACAATTGAAGGTCAAATATCAAACAAATATTAGACAGTATGTTGTGTCCGCTCTGTAAGTCCTACACTAATTGAAGGATTTTCTTCAATCTTGGCTCAAATGTTCATCTCAACAAAGGGATGTGCAGAACCCATGTTGCCCATGTGTCAGCTCAAGGTCAAGGTCACAATTGAAGGTCAAATATCAAACAATCAAATATTAGACAGTATGTTGTGTCCGCTCTGTAAGCCCTACACTAATTGAAAGATTTTCTTCAATCTTGGCTAAAATGTTCATCTCAACAAGGTAATGTGCAGAACCCATGTTACTCTTTTGCTGGTGTAAGGTCAAGGTCACAATTGAAGGTCAAAAATTGACTTAGAAAATATTCTTCAATTTTAACATGTATTTGAATATTTATGAAACTAGAAAAGGTATTTGCTTGAAACTTAAAATATTTATGAAGTGTCACAATTGAGATATGCAGGTCAAGTTTCATAACTCTGTATTGCATTTTGACAAAGTTATGCCCCTTTTTAAGTCTTAAAATTTTATTTACATGCAATCAAATATTAGGCAATATGTCGTGTCACCTATATAAATCCTATACTGATGGAAGAATTTTCTTCAAATTTTACTCAAATGTTCACCTCAACAAGGTTATGTGCAGAACCCATGTTACCTTTGTGTCGGTTTAAGGTCCAGATCACACTTGAAGGTCAAAAATTGACTTAGAAAATGTTCTTAAATTTTAACATGTGAAACTAACATAGGTATTTATGAGGTGTCACAAGTCTGTCACAAATCTTGTCCGGGCTCCTCCTAATAAACTACTGGTGCAATTTCATCCAAACTTTACAGGAATGATCAGTACCAAGTCTAGTTGTGTATATTGTCAGCATTTTCCGGTTCAATGATTTTTGTCAGAGTTATGGCCCTTTAATAATTTTTATTTTTAAAGTTTGTCCGGACTACTTCTCTTATACCACTTATGCAATTTCAATGAAACTTTACAGGATTGATCTGTTGCTCAAGTCCTTGCGCATATTGCACGGGTTTTCAGTTGAATGATTTTTGGCCGAGTTATGGCCCTTTGATAAAAAGGTGTTTTTAGCTCGACTATTCGAAGAATATGAGAGCTATTGTAGTGGCCCCGGCGTCCGCGTCCGCGTCGGCGTCTGCGTTGGTTAAAGTTTTTTGTAAATTCAAATATCTCAATTATTGCTTGAGATATTCAATTGAAACTTATAATACTTATTTATAGTAACAATATACATCAGATTGACAAGTTGGATAACTCTGCCTACAATATTGACAGAATTATGCCCCTTTTTAACTTAGAAATTTTGGTTAAAGTTTTTTGTAAATTTAAATATCTCAATTATTGCTTGAGATATTCAATTGAAACTTACAATACTTATTTATAGTAACAATATACATCAGATTGACAAGTTGGATAACTCTGCCTACAATATTTACAGAATTATGCCCCTTTTCAACTTAGAAATTTTGGTTAAAGATTTTGTAGATTCAAATATCTCAATTATTTCTTGAGATATTCAATTGAAACTTACAATACCTATTGATAGTAACAATGCTCATCATATTGACAAGTTGAATAACTTTGCCTATAATATTTACAGAATTATGCCCCTTTATAACTTAGAAATTTGGTTAATGCTTTTTTTTGTAAAGTCAAATATCTCAATTATTGCTTGAGATATTCAATTGAAATTTACAATACTTTTTTATAGTAACAATGTACATCAGTTTGCAAAATTGCATAACTCTGACTGCAATATTTGCAGAATTATTTGCCCCTTTGAAACTCTAAGAAATTTTGGTTAAAGGTTAAAGTTCTTCAAAGATATTTACTTGAAACTTTACACATGTGCTTAGGGTCATAATTGGAGAGTCATAATTGTATGTCACTGACCAAGTTCTATAACTCTACTCGCATTTAGGCTGATTCATCTCCCCTTTTCTACTTAGTCTATTGGTTAATGTTTACATGCAAGTATTACATATCTCAACAACTATTAAAGATATTTATTTAAAACTTCACATATGCATTTAGAATCATAATTGTAGGTCACTGACCAAGATCCATAATTCTATCTTGCATTTAGGCTGATTTTTCTCCCCTTTTTCAACTTAAAAATTCATAGTAAAATTTTGCTTGTAAGCTGTTATCTCCATAACTACTGAAGAGTTTGTGCCTTTTTGGGGACATTTTTATGCATTCATAATAATAAAGCAGTGATTTACTTGATAAAACATCTTTATAACAAGCCTGTGTACCTTTTCAGTCAATTTTATGTATTCATAGGTAACTAACATTATTATACTCAATAAATCACCCTTGTGACAACATTTTGAATAGTCGAGCCAATACTGTCCTCCAACAGTTCTTGTTTTCTGTGTGTTGCCAGATACACAAAAGCTTGTCTGGACTACTCCTCATAAACTACTGTTGCAATTTCATCCAAACTTTACAGGAATGATCAGTACCAAGTCTAGTTGTGCATATTGTCAGCATTTTCCGGTTCAATGATTTTTGTCAGAGTTATTGCCCTTTAATAATTTTTAATTTTAAAGTTTGTCCGGACTACTTCTCTTATACCACTAATGCAATTTCAATGAAACTTTACAGGATTGATCTGTAGCTCAAGTCCTTGCGCATATTGCACAGGTTTTCCGGTTGAATAATTTTTGGCCGAGTTATGGCCCTTTGATAAAAAGGTGTTTTTTTCTGTGTGTTGCCAGATACACAAAAGCTTGTCCGGACTACTCCTCATAAACTACTTGTGCAATTTCATCCAAACTTTACAGGAATGATCAGTACCAAGTTTAGTTGTGCATATTGTCAGCATTTTCCGGTTCAATGATTTTTGTCAGAGTAATGGCCCTTTAATAATTTTTATTTTTAAAGTTTGTCATGACTACTTCTCTTATACCACTTATGCAATTTCAATGAAACTTTACAGGATTGATCTGTAGCTCAAGTCCTTGCGCATATTGCACGGGTTTTACGGGTGAATGATTTTTGGCAGAGTTATGGCCCTTTGATAAAAAGGTGTTTTTTTCTGTGTGTTGCCAGATACGCAAAAGCTTGTCCGGATTACTCCTCATAAACTCCTGGTGCAATTTTATCAAACTTTACAGGAATGATCAATACCAAGTCTAGTTGTGCACTGTCTGTCTGTCTGTCCGTCTGTCACAAAATTTGTCCCAACATGAAATTGGCCATCATGAGGCGACACATGTGATTACTGATTGCTCTTGTCTTATGTACAGATTCAATCTTTATTAATAATTTAGGCAAATTTTTTTCACTTTTACAGGTCAAGTGATGACATTTACATAATGCTTGCAGCTTTCATGTCGGGACCAGAATGTTATGTACTGACGAATGATGACTTTGGGGATCATATTTCGCTTATAGATAAAGAGCTGAGGCCATTCTTTGAATCATGGAGAAAACAACGAAGAATATTTTTTAAACCCCCTGATAAATTTTATGTATGTTCACCTTTTTTATATCTCGGTTTTCGAAGAAAAGAAGAGCTTCAATAGCTACAGTCAAGCTGTCCTTGATTTTGTTATTGCCATTGCCAAAGCCATTGCCATCTGAAAACTTTAAAGTTGGTCATAATTTGTAGCTCGACTTTTTTTTTACGAAGAAAAAAATAGAGATATTGTTACAGTCGTGGTGGCGTTCCAATGTCCATCCACAAACTTGATCATAAGGTTTCGGTGTATTGTCTTCATACTAGGCCACAACAACCCACACAAGAAGACCTTCAAGTAGACCAGATTTTACTTGACCTTCATTCATGTATGACCTTGAATTTTAATGGTCAGATGTATAAATTTTGCTTGAATTTGCTGATTTTTTGCTTTTTATATGTCCAAAAGAACTTCAGGCATATGTTATACCCCCTGGCGTCCGTCCGTTAGCAATTTGGTTTCTGGAGCATAACTTAAGTTCCATTTAGCCCACAATATTCAAACTTCATAGGATGATTGTCCATGTTGAGTAGAAGACCCTGATTGATTTTGGGATCACAAGGTCAAAGGTCAAGGTCACTATTTGGGCGTCTGTGGCCGAGTGGTTAAGGTTGTTGACTTCAAACCACTTGCGACTCACCGCTGTGGGTTCGAATCCCTACAGGGACTTTGGATTATTTCATGTGAGGAAGCTATCCAGCTAGCTTACGGAACGCCGGTGGTTCTACTCGGATACCCGTTCGTGCCTGAAATAATATATATATTATGCACGGAAGGGCACCTGAAGTCTTCCTCCACCAGTAAAGCTGGAACGTCGCGATATGACCAATACTGTGTCGATGTGACGTAAAAAAAAAAAAAAAAAAAAAAGTGGCTATTTTCTTTTGTGCGGCTAAAAAGAACAATGGAAAGAACAATAGAGTAGCCACATAATTACTGTCCTGTGAGAACGCCGTCTGTGCGTTTCCACTTCATTCGTGTCCGGACTGTAACTTTGTCATACATTGAAGGAATTTGAAATAAGTTGGTATAAATGTCTACTACATCAAGACGATGTGTCACGTTTAAGAACCATGTCCCTGCCTCAAAGGTCAAGGTCACACTAACATTTTGAAGTTTCACATTATCACAATTAGAATTAATAGGCACATGCAATCGTGTCCGGGCTGTAACTTTGTCATGCATCGAAAGATTTTAGAATAACTTGGCATAAATGTCTACCACATCAAGAAAATGTGTCTGATTCAAGACTTACGTCCCTACCTCAAAGGTCAAGGTCACACTAACATTTTGAAGTTTCACATTATCAAAATTAGAATTAATAGGTACACACAATCGTGTCCGGGCTGTACTTTGTCATGCATCGAATTGTTCACCACCATGAGACGTAGTGCCCTGCACATGAACCAAGTCTCTAGGTCAAAGGTGAAGGTCACAGTTAGGGCTCATAGAAAAACGCTTGTCTGGAGCAAAACTTCTACATGCATAGAGGGATTTCGATATAATTTGGCACAAATGTTCATCATTGTGAGGCTGAGTGCCGTGCATAAAATTCAGGTCCCTGAGACCAAGGTCAAGGTCACACATCCTGTGCATATCTTCCCTACTGATTTGTTTTAAGGTTCATTTAACAACACAGTGCCAAGAATAGAAACTTGCTTGCTAGATAACACTTATCCATAATGCCCCCATCTCCATCTAAAGCTTTCGTAAACGGGCGTATTTTGTGACTATGGCACCCTTGTTTCACAATTACAAAACAACATGACTCTGTCAAGATATAAAACTGTGCACAATACATATTTTTGGCATTTTTTTGTGTATAACTGAGTGAATTGGTAAACCTCTTTTGAAAAATTGTTACTGACAAAAATCTTTACCTGTGGCATTTTTGTTTGACAAACACCTTCTTGTTTATGTTTTCAGTTCCCAGAAAGATACAAATTTACCACAACTGAAACAAAAATGGGCTGGCATGTACCATGTCGAGAAAATGATGAACAGATGATAATATACAAGTATTTGCAAAATCGGTCAAAACATTTTGTGCAAATGCAATCCAAGAAGTTCTTATGTTTAAGTAAAAAAACAAGCTATGTGCCTTCATCAGAGCTGGTATTATTTAGACAAGTGACAAATGAATGGAACAAAATGAAAGTGTAATGGAAATATTGCATATGTAAAAATTGGAATGCAGAAGAAATACAGGGCTCATAATCATTGTTGCAACTTCCCAAGATCCTTAGTTCAAACAAACTTCCCTACAGTTTCTCCTCGCAACATCATTTATCAAAACCTGATAGGTTTAGATAGCCTTTAGACTTTGGGTGGAATAATCAGTGTCATCAGTGCTGAAAATAGACTTTTACACTTTAGTTCATTAATTTATTATATCTACATTCATGAGAAAGTATGTTGTTTTGCAAATATCCAGCAGTCTTTAGAAAACTTTGTTTCCTGTCAGTAAAGAAACAATCTAGAGGACAATTTGATCCATAGCCTTCAGACTTCATAGGATGATTTTCCTTATTGAGTAGAAGACCAAAATGTACTATGTTTTAGCTCACCTGTGCACAAAATGCTAAGACGTGAGCTTTTATGATGGCAGTCTGTCTGTGTGTAGACCACATGGTTTCCTCTGATTATCTTAAAAACTATTTATCACAAAGTCTTCATATTTCACATACTGATTGGTCATAGCTAGTAGATGACCCCTATTGATTTTAGGGTTACTAGGTCAAGGTCACAGGGGCCTTAAATGTCAAAATGGTTTCTACTGATTATCTTGAAAACTATTCTTCACAAAGTCTTAATATTTCACACAGTGATTGGTCTTAACTACAAGAGGACCCCTATTGATTTTGGGGTCACTAGATTAAAGGTCAAGGTCACAGGGGCCTGTAATTTCAAAATGGTTTCTGCTGATTACCATGAAAACTAGTCATCACAAAGTCTATATATTTCAAATAGTGATTGATCATAACTAGTAGATGTCCCCTATTGATTCTTGGGTTACTAGGTTGAAGGTCAAGGTCACAGGGGCCTTAAATGTCAAAATGGTTTCCGCTAATTATCTTGAAAACTGGTCATCAAAAAGTTTTCATATTTCACATAGTGATTGGTCATAGCTCGTAGATGACCCCTATTGATTTTGGGGTCACTAGTTCAAAGGTCAAGGTCACCAGGGTCTTTATTGTCAGAATTGTTTCCACTTATTATCTTGAAAACAATCTAGCAGAAAGTCTTCATATTTCACATATTGATTGGTCATAGCTATTAGATGACCCCTATTGATTTTGGGGTCACTAGTTCAAAAGGTCAAGGTCACAGGTGCCTTAAATATCAGAATGGTTTCTGCTTATTATCTTGAAAACAATTTATCATAGAGTCTTCATATTTCACATATTGATTGGTCATAACTATTAGATGACCTGTTTTTATTTTAGGGTAACTAGGTTAAAGGTCTAGGTCACAGGTGCCAAGTTAAATGTCATAATGGTTTCTGCTTGTCATCATAAAAACAATTATCACAAAGTCTTCATATTTCACATATTGAATAGCCTATATAGTAGATGACCCATATTGATTGAGATCACTAGTTCATAGGTCAAGGACACAGGGGCCTTAAGTGTAAATATGATTTCCACTTATTATCTTGAAAAAAATTTTTTATCACAAAGTCTTCATATTTAACATATTTATTAGTCATAATTGTGTCACTAGTTCAAAGGTCAAGCTCTTTATATATCGTATATTGATTGGTTATACTTAGTAGGTCACTACTTTTATTTTTTCCATAACGGAACACTTCCATGTACCCATTTATGGCAAGTTTCTATAACAGAGTTACCAATGTGAGTCAAGGGCTATAAAGGGCGATATTTCTTGTTACAAGAATACCGTGTTATTATGCATTGAATGTGCTTGAAAATATAAATCACATTAACTGTTAAAATGAGCAAGTATATGTATTTGTTTGTATAATAAGATATTCACACCTTGCATACAGGTGAACATACTATAAGGCAGATAAAATATTATCTGTTAAATACTAAATACCTGATTATGAAACAAAAATTGGAAAAATTGGAAATAAAATTCAACATGTTGTTACGTTGTATGGATGATAACAAAATTCAAAGTATACTGCTATTTATTATGACTAGTTAATACATGTTGTTAAGACCATAGATCAAGTTGAGATGTCCAGGTACTCAGAGAGGCATGATCATACATGCATATGTAACATAGCATTAATGAATATCAAATAAAGGGAAGTAATACAATTGACTGTACAAATAAACATGTAAAAAGATAGCTTATCTTGATCTGCTTTTGTTTGAAACTAGAGAGAAATTTCAGAGAAGCTCATAAACATATGGCCGCTATAATTGTTAATTTATTCTGAGAAAGGGTAAAGTTGTTAAAATAATGTCCATGTCAAGACTGACATCAGTTTATGAATTTGAGATCACTATGGTAAGTATGTCCTAGATAATGCTTTTACACTTTCAAACATAGCATTTAAGATCATCTTTGTAATTGTACTGTTTATAGCATGCAATTACCTTTTTATCCCCCGCCGAAAAGGCGGCGGGGGATATAGAAATAGTCTCCGTCCTTCCGTCCGACATTTTTGTCCGGAGCATATCTCTAAAAGTATTTGAGTTATCAACTTGAAACTTCATAGGTGGATAGACCTCATTGAGGAGGAGTGCAGTGCACAAGAATGATAACTCTACCCTGCATAATTTTTGAGTTATTGCCCTTTGTTATTTTTCAAAATTGATTTTTGTCCAGAGCATAACTCCAAAAGCCTATGAGATATCAACATGAAACTTCATAGGTGCATAGATCTCACTCGGGAGGTGTGCAGTGCACAATAATGATAACTCTACCTTTCATAATTTTTGAGTTATTGCCCTTTGTTATTTTTCATACTTAATTTTTCACCCTGAGTGGAGCATAACTCAAAAAGTGTTTGAGATATCAACATGAAATGTCATAGGTGGATAGATCTTATTGAGGAGGAATGTTGTGCGCAAGAATGATAACTCTTCCCTATACAATTTTTTAGTTATTGTCCTTTGTTCTTTTTCATGCTATTTTGTCCAGAGCTTAATATCTCAAAAAGTATTTGAGGTATCAACTTGAAACTTCATAGGTGGATGGATCTCATTGAGGTGGAGTGCAGTGCACAAGAATGATAACTCTACTTTGCATTATTTTTGAGTTATTGCCCTTTGTTATTTTTTCAAAATTAATTTTTGTCCAGAGCATAACTCAAAAAGCCTTTGAGATATCAAAATGAAACTTCATAGGTGCATAGATCTCACTCAGGAAGTGTGCAGAGCACAAGAATGATAACTCTACCTTTCATAATTTTTGAGTTATTGCCCTTTGTTATTTTTCATACCTAATTTTTCACCCGAGTAGAGCATAACTCAAAAGTGTTTGAGATGTCAACATGGAATGTCATAGGTGGATAGATTTTATTGAGGAGGAATGCTGTGCACAAGAATGATAACTCTTTCCTGTACAATTTTTGAGTTATTGCCCTTTGTTCTTTTTCATACTATTTTGTCCGGAGCTTATCTCAAAAAGTATTTGAGGTATCAACTTGAAACTTCATAGGTGGATGGATCTCATTGAGGAAAAGTGCAGTGCACAAGAACGATAACTCTACCCTGCATAATTGTTTAGTTATTGCCCTTTTTTTTATTTTGCAAAATTAATTTTTGTCCAGAGCATAACTCAAAAGGCCTTTCAGATATCATTATGAAACTTCATAGGTGCATAGATCTAACTCAGGAGGTGTGCAGTGCACAAGAATGATAACTCTACCTTTTATAATTTTTGAGTTATTGCCCTTTGTTATTTTTCATACTTAATTTTTCAATTCAATTTTTTTCTCAAAAAGAATTTGAGGTATCAACTTGAAACTTCATAGGTGGATAGATTTTACTGAGGAGGGATGCAGCACACAAGAATGATAACCTACCCTGCATTATTTTTCAGTTATTGCCCTTTGTTATTTTCAGCCATCAGTATTCACATAGGTTTCAAATCTGTAATCACTATAGCCATCAGTTTTCATTACCAAAAGACCTCTTAAAATGGAATTATTCTGCTCTACTACATAAACATTCTTCCAATGAGCAAACACATTCGGCGGGGGATGGCCATGTTGACATGGCTCTTGTTCAATTGTTAAAATGCCTTGTCGTTCCATTCCCAAGCGACATCTTTTACAGTCAGTTTTCGTAATGGTTCTGTAAAAGTCTCATAGTTTGGTATGAATCTAGAACAATAAGTTGTCATACCCAGAAAACTTCTCATTTCCCTGATATTTGTGGGTGGTTCTATCTTGTGAATGAATTCGCGAGATTTCCGATTCTGAACACAACCCCAAAGAAACTGAAAGTGACTTTTGTCTTGTTGTATTCACATTAGTTCCTGTTCAAAGTAAGACCATTGTTGAGCTGTACTTTCAGTTCCTTTTGTACAGCTTTATCGTGGTCTTGTTGGCTTTTCCCGAAAAATTATGATATCTTCCAAAATATTCTTTGCTCCACGGATCCCTTGAATCAAAGATCCAATTGTCTTTTGAAAAAAATTCACTTGTTGAAAAAAAAGTAATAGACCATGATTCCTTGTTTAGGACAAGTTGATAGTATCAATTTACTGAAAACTTTTTATCCATTCAGGTCATGCTTAAATTCATCTATTGAAGGTGTCAGGAGAAATGTCTGCCTTGATGTTATTTAATCTAAGAAAAGATTTAGTAATAAATACTAGAACCAATTTCCAAGATATGGAGGCTGGGCAGCACCGCCTGACATAAAAGTGAAATATTCTCAGTTGGAAAACTAGCATGTAATTGTTTAGTTAACACTATCTTTTTTTTAGGTATTTTTTATCCTTTTCTATCTCAAATCAATATATACATGTAAACAACAAACTCTGATTATTATTTACACCCAAAACAAAGAACTCTGATCATTATTTACACCCAAAACAAACACACATCATTTATCAGCCACTTATATGAAATATCTTTTCACGTATACGTCTTTTATACGAAACAAGACACCTGGCGAGCCCAAGCTCTAACAACTTATGATCAAACAACAATAAAATCACCACAAAATGAAGAACACAAAAAAATGAATATTTTTACAACTCTAAGATACGGTATAAACCACAAACATTCATCCAACAATATTAACTTCACACAATCTAATCGGCATCAGAAAACAACTTAAACTACAGCACCCAATATTTACATATATCCTCAAAACAAAGCAGCAACTAATATAATCTTGATATAATACCAAACATTCAACCAATATCAACCAATTATATCTTCACAAATAGATATAACTCAACAACCAAAACAACAAATTACAACCAATAAACCCTGATCAATTAAGATCACCACAATTATATTCAACCACCTCAACAAACCAACAAAACTGACTTCAAAACAACAAAATTCTCTTCCGAATAAAAAATAACCCCTCACACTATAAGCGTGTGTCTCCTAACTAATGTAAAATCTCTCTCTAAACGCGCATATTTGCTAGCTAAACGATCTGACCTTTAAACATGTATACATACAGCGACTGGTTTAAACATGATATTTACAATCTACTAAAAACAATGTATCACTGTAAAGAAATATTAACTCGTTGTTTCATCTACAACAATATATCACTGTAGGGAAATATTAACTCGTTGTAAGATACATATCTACATATAAACTTCATGATTATTCTGACAGCCCCCTACTCAAGAAAACACTCCACTGTTTTCAAACAACATGAATAATCTACAGTGTCTCTTTTCAAGTATCGAGTCTACTTAGGTAATCTGCACATACGTTGTCCTTTCCTTTCACAGCTACTATTCTAAACTTATAGTTCTGTAGAAATAATGCCCATCTCATTATGCGGCCACTTTCAACTTTACATTTCTGAATATACGTTAAAGGAGCATGGTCTGTATGCAGCTCAAATTCTTTCCCGTACAAATATTTGTTGAATTTCTTTATTCCAAATACCATCGCAAGACATTCCCTTTCGATAACCGAGTAGTTTCTTTCTCGATTCAACAATTTCTTACTCGCGTAAGCTATTGGAAGCAGACCATCATCAAACTGTTGAAGAAGTGCAGCCCCTACTCCTGTATCTGAGGCATCACATTGCAAAACAAATGACTTTGAAAAGTCTGGAAGTCGTAGTATTGGTGATCGTGTCAGTACTTGCTTCAATGTCGTAAAGGCTTTTTCATGGTCTGGTTTCCATATGATTTTAATTGGCTGTCCTTTCTTCGTAAGATCAGTCAAGGGTGAAGCAATTTCTGCAAATGAAGCAATAAATTTTCTGTAGTATCCAGCTAAACCAAGAAACGATCTCAGTTGCTTCTTTGACTCTGGTCGCATAGCGTCTTTAATTTTGACTAATTTGTCATCTTCCATTTGCATTTGTCCTTTGCCAACAACATGACCGGTAAATGGTATACTTTCAAATCCAATCATACATTTAGAAGGCTTAACTGTGATATTTGCGTTTCGTATTCTTTCGAACAATTGTCTCAACATCTTCATGTGTCTCTCCATGTAACCGTATGTCCAAGCACATCGTCAACATAGTTATCAGTATCATTCACTCCGGAAAGCAAACTTCCGCATCATTCTATTAAATGTTGCACCAAAATTGACCATTCCAAATGGCATCTTTCTGAATTGGTAACTACCTTCTGTTGTAGAAAAATGCTGTGAGATGTCTTGATTTTGCTTCAATTGGTATTTGCCAAAAACCTTTGGTCAAATCAATTTTTGTGAAGAACTTATCTTCTTTTAGCTTTGCCATCACATCCTCAACATTAACCCATTGGTTCTGTATCAAACTTTGTTACAGAGTTGAGTCGTCTGAAATCAATACAAAAGCGGTTTGTATTATCCTTTTTCTTCACCAAAACAATTGGAGAATTATAATCAGAATTTGCTGGTTCAATGATACCACATATCAAGCATTTTCTTAATTTCATCCTCTACCGCTGTCCTTTTTGCATATGGTATCGCATATTGTCTAACACGAATTGGTGTTTTGTCAGTCAACTCAATCTTGTGAGATTCAAGATCTGTAGTTCCAGGAACGTCAGTAAAAATATCCTCAAATTCTTGAAGCAACGCATTAACTTCTGATTTTTGTTCAAGTGTTAATTGATCATTAACATTAACATCTCTGTACGTCTCTTCACCTTGTGTGTCTACTAGTTTCTAAAAAGATTTTCATCATCAACTACCCCAGTAT